CGCCTTCTAAGTAACTGCGTAGTTTCTTATTTAACAAACCAGAAAGTAGGCTGTAACAAACGTTCTTCTTCGTTCTTCCTTATCGCGATGAGGGCGTGGTTGGGTCTCAAGAATCGTTAAGTAGCGTTACTCCGTGGGGCTGGGAGCTATCGGTATATAAATATCTATTAATTAGTGGTAGAATAAAGACGTATGCTCGTTGCAGATTCTATCTGGACCAACGACCTTCCTGTTGCATAAAATCCAACTAGGCTTACGTTGCATTAGTTCCAGCGATGTTAAAAACATCGCGTTGTACTGATATTCACTTCCTACACAGCAGTATAAAAGCACCAAGCGTGGTATTGTGTCTCTTGACCTGAATATGCCCCTGAAATGATAAGAACGAAAACACTAATCAGACTAGACGTCGAGTTGTCGTGGTGCGTTAGCCACTTGTATGGGTTAACGTTCTGCATTGGCGATCAAACGGATTTCCAGCTGTTCGATGTACCGTTACCTTTGTGACGCATACGTTTTTCAACAGATTGTCTTAAAAAACCGAAGCTGAAGAGGAGTACTCAGGCTGTACCTCGTCCATAAGCCTAAGACTCTTTGGCCTCTTCAAACAAGGCTGCAAGTATAGTCGTACTATGACCTGTACATTCGCCGAAGACGGAAGGGCTGTACTATAGACTGAAGAATTTCAATCAGACGCTGCATTTGAGTTTCGGCATCCATCACGTTCGGCACAGGGGGGCTTTTCGGGAGCTTGCCTACGTTTAAGCCTCGCGACAAATTCCGGCGTTTGGCAGTCTGCGCAGTCGCAACTTCCGATGGTAAGGAATATTGGCATCGGTATCCGAGTTCGAATGATTCCGCCTTCTAATAATGAATGATTCAGACCCTTAAACCTTATGGGACGAAGTGGCCTGCGTGGCTACTGCGCATCTCTTTGAGCGCGTTATTATAATAACCATGTCTAGCAAACATACTGCCACGCCACTTCAAATCTCAGCGTTGCTAAAGATTATTACTAATAATTACTAATCAGGAAAGCAAGGAATTGAGGAAAATAAATGTTATTTTAATAGGTGCTTTTATGGCTGCCATACCGTTTCAAGGTCCTCTTGGAGAAACTCTCGATACGTACGGCAAGATCCAAAAGATTCTGGGCTTAAGTCCTTGACGCTCGAAGTGAAAATGCGTGATTCCGAGGAACTCGTTCTAGGGCTAAACATAAAAAAAAACATTATCCTGTTCCTATTTACGTTCACTACACATATATTGATAGAATAAAATAATAACTTCGATATATTTATCGACTGAAATGCCGAACTTCCTGGATGTTCTAAATAAGTCGGTGGCGAGGTAAAATTCACTGCATAGCAATCGTACTATGCAGGCGTATCTGAAAAGGCCGCGTGGCAACTCGAGTTCGGTTGATCGAGACAGTTTCTCCACCAGTGCATACGTTGATTCCGAATCAGCCAACTTAACAGAGGCTTCTAGGAGACGTAGTCGCTGCCAACTTAGGCTTCTACGAGTCATAGTCGTTACCAACGTAAGGCAGTTACATTATTCTCCACTAGACACAGTGTAAGGTCGCCCATCTGATGATTGTCATTAACGGAGATGCCTCCTCAGAGCAAAACAGTGCGCAGAGTAGAACTGCCGTAAGCTAAAAGGCCATGTTTCCGTCAGCGTGAGGATTTCTAAACTGTCCAGAGCCTTTAGGAGAAAAATCCCAGCCCTCTCACAGTTCCACTGTGTAATTCTCAGCGTCTCCTCAAGGTCAGGTCTTTTTGCAACCCTTGTGATCCTCGCGAGCGGCTCCATGATGTCCTTAACCGTTAGAGCGGGCAATGTGTACATTATGCTAGTTAAAAATTCAAGACATGCGTAATTCCGATGGTGAAGCATGTCATGGGCCTTAGGTCTAGGCACAGATCGAAATGAAAACATTGACTGTATGTATCTTCTAAAATGCGCCTTCATCCTCAACACTCGCAGATGCAGATATATTCCATATGTATCGGTTGTGTTTCTCATCACAACCCTGAAATGAAATAATGATGAAGCAGAATGATCAGATATTTTAAAAAGGACGTATTCTAGAGGCCAAAAAAGTGTCACCGTACGAATATCAAACCGCGATTGTGTTTGTGCCACACCTTAAGTCGAATAGTATAAATTGAGATAAATTAGAGTGGACATTGCGGATCAAAAATCAATTCTACTTTGTAAATTGGTGGACAGCCCTCAGCAGAAAGATCTGTCATAGCTTAAGGGTACTGCCAGCGAAAAACGAAAATCGCGTCTTGGCGGGAGAGATTGGATTGTAGAGGATTGTAGAGTAACATCTGAAGCCCTCACGGGCAAATACGCCGTCGCAATATAAATTACAGGGAAGAGCCTACTAGACCAGACTATTTCACGCGAACCTGTAATCACTATGGACAACAAACTCGAGTCGAAACAGCAAATCGAACAGCGCACGTTTTTTACGCCACACAGTTAATTAGATGGGGCTTCTGACCGAGACCTATGGAGATTTTTGTCGTAAACGCCTTAGGCATATTGCAAGAATGAGCTCAACCGTTCGCAAGATCGCAGCAGCTTTTGAGTTTCACTGAAAAAACACCTTAGCTTAGAAGCACGCGTATACCCATAACCTGGAACGTGTCACTGCAACGTTATTTACATATATTACAATACAATAGGTTCTGGTGATGCGAGCGAATTTAAGGTAGTACCAAGCAGTACACACATTTCAGGTAATTGGCTTTTTGTAAGGCACCATGCCTGGAAGTGAACGAAGTTTGTCATGACAATACTTACTGCTATATAACATATTATATTGGATACACGGAAATTATTGCAAGCTACTTATCCGTCGATAATACTTCTAGAAAAATGAACCATTGTTTTCAACAAAGAACGTGTTGCCTATTAATTTACACGGAACACATTGCACTTGCAGTTCTTCCCCATTTTTATAATCGTTATAGGTTACAGGTCGATTGGAAAAGTAGACGTTATACCGACTCCTCACTTAAGCGTATTTATGTATCCACGAACCACTGTGCTTAGGGTTAAACTATTTCAATCTTCAGCTTTGGACCCCTTCAACTTGCAAGTAGATACCGAGCTATAGCAGATCGACATCGCCGAAAAGCCTCACTCATGGGTCCTTCCAGGCAGGGGCTGTACCTTAAGTGAATGACAAAAATAAATTAAAAAAAAATGACGTCTAATTATGCAGGAAAGCAGTATTCAATTTTCCTATTTGTAAATGAAATCGTCGCTGCTATAAACAAGCGCTCATTCCTAAAACTATTCGACAAGCTCCGAGTCTACCCTCTTTATCCTGCGGATATACTTCTACATTCATGTAACAACGAATTTCGGAATACCATAGCTCGTGTGGCAATGTTAAAGAACCAGCTACACTTTCCCCAGCGACGGGTACCAGTTATTACTTGCTTACCGTGTGAGAAAGATATTCCACATTCACACAATTACCGTATTGAACAGCTACACGTTAATGTACCTATGCGCTTACATACGGAACCCGATAGAATTCAATCAAGGAGATTTACTTGGCCCCAATAACCTATGATGTAGCATTACTGCTGGTTCAGCACGGCCGTGTGAGTTTGATTCGAGCCCAACGAATTCTAAATAACTAACCGTTAACATAGTCCCTTCGCGCCTCGCTATTTCGCTTGCCGGCCGCGAGCTTCGTTGTGTCAGCGTCAGTGGGCCATAGAACGCTTTTGTTGCACTATGACAATGACGGAGCTGAGCTGGTAACGCGGGCTGGCGAAGTGTTCTCGCTCTTGCTGTTTTCATGTATTAAGATATACGCCTGCTCTGTTATTTGCCGCCGTTCGTTCGTTCGTTGGTTGGTTGGTTCATTGCAAGAGATTACTATGATCTGTGGCCTGCAATTCTTTTACGACGGTCAACGATTGCCTTAGGATCTCTATCGCCGCCACTGAAAAGGTGAACTCGAACAAAGCCCCTCGAACCCTGACGAATATTTAGGGACCACTCAACGGTCTACTACGTGCCCCATAGTCCATCGCTTCCAACACCAATAGCTTACGCCCAGAGCGCTAAAAGCTTTGGCCGTTGACTATGGGTTATCCCTGTCACGATCGTATGGAGGTGGGGCTGCGGGGAAGCCAAAAAGAAAAGAGTAACATTGGAGGAATTGCACTAGAGAAAATGGAGTGGGCATTGATTTTTATGTCGACGTCAGGGTATTGGCGGTCGAGGCGGTGAAATGGAATAGGGACGGGGCAATGGGCCAACGCGTCTCACGCACACAGTCCGATTCAACGTCAGAAACGAAGTGTAAAGACGACCGACGGAAGGCTGCAAGGAAACGAGGCCGATGAAAGCAGTAAGCCTGGGAAAACTTCGCGGCATCGAGAACTAAACGAAGCATAGTTGATTTGAGAGGGCATCGAGATCGACGCCCTTGCTGTTCTTGCCCTTCGCCTTGCCTCGCCTGAAGTCTTTTCCCAGTTCGCTGCTGATCGTACAGATAGCCGTCACCCAGCTGCAGATATCGGGCCAAGCCCAAGTCAAGAAGAATATTGTACTCCACGCTTCGCCTACTTAGCGTGCTTGACGGACCCAGTCCGCCAAGCTGCCACTCTACCTCTCTGCCGGTCACTCATTCTGGACTAATCAAGATTTCTCGGTTACAATCAATGGTTATAATCAGGCAGCTCTTGAAGCACCAAGAGCAACACAAGTATAACATTGTTGTTACCGTTGTAGCGTCGTTTGTGCGTACTTTGCAATAGGTTCTGGTCGGCCTTGCGAAAAGCTTCTTTGCACAAGCGATTATCCATTCTGTTTATGCTAATCTCTGCTGTATGAGTGTATCTGTGTTAATCAATATAGCTTTTACGGTAGAAAAAATGTTGTATTATTTTTAACAACAGACAAATAAAAACAATTAAGTTTTAATGACAGTGATTTCTGAATATTAGAAATATCTCAATTGAAACAGAAAATTTCCGTTATTTTTGAACATACATGTGTAATTAAAAACGCTCCTGTAACCTTATGATAACGGGATATTTTGCACGAATAAACTATTATTATCGCAAGGCAGACAGACAACTACATGATCTCATCAGTCCTAAGATTAGGATTGCCTTCGATGATGCTTGCTGCTAACACTTAAAGACGAATCTATATGATTCACTGTTTCTCTCTGTAGCTCTCGTGCTATTGACGACAAATCAACTTTGATTTAGATAACAGCGGCAAAAAGAAAACACTGCGGGCACTTGGATTCGTAAATTTAATAAGGGAAGTATTTTTGTATGTTATACGAGTATGGCTGATGTAGATGATGTAGTCCAGCACAAATGCATAACTTGAAATGGGGTGTCTAAGAGGCACTGAACTGTTTAAAAAGTGACACATTTTAGGTAATATGAATTGCGTCGAGAGGGCGTTGGTATCGATTGAAAGTTGAAATAGCGGGAATAGCCGATATATTGAAATTGTTTAAGTAAAAATTCGATAAAAGTTTCAATTATAGTGTTAAGAGAAAGGCTGCCCAGGCCTCTAGAAAAAGAAGGAGCTGTTCATGGTCGAGACGCGAGATAAATGATTCTGGAAATCTCGATGTAAAGCTTCCTCTTCATAGTGGTAAGAAGTGGAAGGAGTTGATGAAATTTCTGCGGAAGTTGATCGAGACTGATACGAGAGTACCCGCGATGTCATCGTCAAGGATCTAAAAATTCATTCATGCAAAAAAGCTTAGTGTGTAGAACTGTTAGAGCTCGAGTAGCGAAGCAGAGCCATTTTTAAAATGGCTGCACACGGATAATTAAAAGTCGATCACATGCAACCACAAAGCGCGAATACATAAATCTACCCTATACTATGTGATAAACTCCGGAGTGGCACCAAACAAGGTGATACTATGTGCTTGGTGGGACTGGTGCTAACTTCTAGCAAAATAGTTTATTCGGACAAGTATTGTCTGCAACTAATAAGATTATAACAGGTCAGAAGAAAAAAAAAATCGACGGGAACTAGCAAACAGAGAACACGTCGTTTTCCACCATATGAAACATCTTCAACAAAATCCCAGAAAGCCTAAATGGGAAACTCCAAAGCAACCATCATATATCTCGCATCTTGCATCATCCGACTATCATCATGTTCCGGTTTCTATAGAACTTCCTGGATAGTATTAATTTCGTTTTAATTGACGAATGCAAAAATAATCTGATACAATTTTAACTTACAAATAATCAATATGATCCATATGTATTCGACAACCTATATATATATATATATATATATATATGTACAAAGAACCAATCCCATATATACTGAGAAATTTGTTGGGATACATTAGCTCTCCTATGCCCTAAATGCATACTGCACACCAACACGCTTATAGCAAGCGGTGCAGGTTTTTTCCTTAAAGAAGGAGTTTGTGTTAAGCACATGACGCATGCCCATTTGGACAGAGAGCCGCCTCCATTCGATGTACGTTAACGTTAGACTTTAACGTAAAAAATATAATCATAAAATAGACTTCATTTTTTCTAGGAAAAAATTAGTGGCGAAGTCATGTTGTTGGTTGATGAAAGCTCGGCTCGAACGAAGTTCAGCAGCGATGCCATATATGTGGAGTCAGTGCCCACGGTGAAGTGGTAACTATACGAATTTGATGAGTTAAGCAGACTAACACAGCGTCCTATTTATTCGCGTGTGGCAATTGCTCGTTTTAATAAAATTATATCTAAATATCACGGCATTTTTTCGCGTGGGAATCATACCTATCAATGTGTGGACCCCATACTAGAAGAGGGATTCGCTGACGTGCCATTGGTCAAATACGACGGTCCTAGGAAACTGTAAGCCATTCATGGGGAAGAAGAAGTTACCAGATGATATATAGCAAGCGAAAATTAATGAACCACTTAAGGAATACCTGTTAACTCTGCTTAGCGGCTTTGGTAAATTGCAGACCAGCGCGGCCATTAAATATTTAAGAACAAAATCGCCTCAAATTACCTTGATGTTGATATAGCCGAAATAAGTGACGAGGATTCATGACGACAATTAGGGGCACAAAAATGTGCCAAAAACGCTACGACGCCTCTTGTCGTCTTCATCCTTAGAAACCGTTCAGGCTCTGTATCACTGGAACACAGGCTTTCGACCCAACTGGATCAGAGTGATGTCGTCAAAGGTAGCGCGCTTCGTTATAACTCGAAAAATTATTTCGTACGATCTATTTAGCATACAATTTGAGCTATTAGTGACAGCAAATGAGCTCCATCAGTTAAGCTTTGGAAGGCTGTGCGTAGTGTTCAACGTGATAGGTATGAACGGGGTTCGCAGCGTTAAGAGGAAACGCCAACAAAATAAATTCTCTCTGTTCTAAGCATCAGTACAGGAAAGGCTTAACTTTTATCCACATTCGCGCGGATATGCTCTCGGTTGTGGTTCTCTGGAACCGATGAGGGGTTTGTGTAAACTTAGTTTAACTAGTGACTTCGGCAGTATTTATGAATGCGGAGTGGCAGGCTTCACTGGCGATAAACCTATAACTGGGATTATCCTGTCGAAGCAACCGAGCCCTGAAGAGGATGAATAGCAGTCACTCGACGAGATCTTCGGTGTGGGCTGTATCTCTGACAAACGAGTTCAGAAGGAAAGTAAGCCTGGGCACTAGTCTCTCCATCTCGAAAGACGATCATGACTAAATAGCGTATTGTCAGCCATCTGGTAATGCTTGGGGATACTATTATTAACACAGTTTCAAAGCTTGACGAGATTAGTTCAGCGGAACTTATCCTTATTATACTGGTCGTTATGAAACGAAATTTCGAAGATAAAGGCGTGTACACCGATGCACTTTTTGCCATACTCCGTTCAATCGAGACAACCTGGTTTACGTTGTATTTATTTCAAGAAGTTCAGAACTGATAGTTTTCGAGCCGAGCAGTAAGTGCATAAGCGGGGCTTCTTCAAAGGAGGCATCAAGCTACATGAACTGCGACGCCGTTTCGAGTTATGCTCGGTAAATTATGACGAATTTGGAAACTTTAATTAACTGAAAAAGCCGGTCGACCCGATGTTTTTGTGATTAGTTCTTAAAAAGGGAAGAAAAAGATATTGTATATCCCGCTACAAAGAGCTTGTCGAGTTTTTTTTTTGCGAAGTAATACTACGTACCGAAGACGGGCATGTTATCGACCACCACGTCATTAAGATCTACATTTACGGCTTTCTGAAATCAATTGTGAATCCTTGCTGATTTCATGAGAATAACGAAAGAAAGGATGAGTCGACCAAGATAATTATACGCCACCCAGACGCTGTCACTTTTGAGTACTGGAAGGCCGAAGTGTCTGACTTACACCGGTCGCTGTGAACAGCTTTTATAGGTCAAATAGATTCTCCGAGCTAGCCTCCTCGAGAGAAACTAGCTACGCAATGGCCCATCGGAAACATAGCATGCGAAGCGCGCCTGGTATAATTTGCATAATTTTATATAATAACGGTATAGCTTTGATGTAAGTTTAGTATTCATATAGATCTTCTGGATAAAATCAGACGACTATTTTCCGCCAAAGAAGACAGACTCGATACGTTCACTTTATTTGTTGTCAATTTAAATTAAGCACGAGTTATATGTACGTATAGGTTCCTGCATAGCAGCATTTAACCAATACGTTACCAATATATATATATATAGACGCTTAACAACTAAATGTTCGAGCTTTACGTCTGGTCCTGACATTAGGCATCGTGGCCAAAATTTAGTAATCAACTCGAGAGTCGTTCATTTAAATGTTATGGACAGCCATGAACGTCTTGACCAATACAAACCCTTAAAACAGGGAATTTTGTTGAGGAAATATTCAAACGGCTTTTGACCTATCATTTGTAAGTTGTCTTTTAAAACATTACTATCAGTAACAATACCCGAAGGAATCGTGCTGAAGTTTTTGTGTATGCGTATAGAATAATGCTATTTAGTTATTTTAAGTTTCGGCTTTTACTAAACAAACAAAGTTAGCAATTATTTACTTGTCACTATTCCATATGGAGGTTTAGAAGATAGCTTTCCTCGGATTAATAACAACCGGCTAATCTATTTTTGTCTTCTAATGTGACTAAATAAAGAAACAATAGAAGAGTAATGTTTCCATATTAAGCATGAGTAACTGTTAAATATATTGAGATGTGAGATCTAAAGTTTCTAAAGTGACCTAACGTACTCTTGTAGTGAGAATGAGCAAAGTGGCTAGAATATATTATAGATTTCGTGTTTGAAGCGATGTACGCTAGGAACGAGATAATACTTCCCTGTAGTTTAATAGCAATCTTCTGTGGATTTCATATTTCATTGGTCTACCTTTTTGATGCCGACGGAGTTAAAAAAAAAAAAAAATAGCGTCTACTTTGGCAGGACCCTATGTGATGCAAGACGTTCTATCCACAGTCCCTTTCGTATATACTGCCACCGAAGCATTTTCATTCCTCCGCGGTAAGCTAACGTTCGCATCAGATACTCCGCTTTGAGTTAGGAAAGAATAAGAAAAAAAGAACGAAAAAATGAAGACATATTTATGGTAACTCCTCAACAATAGAATAAAACTACACAGTACGAAGTCAACGAACTCAATATATAATTTTTACTATTAATAGCTAGAAGCTGCTTTGAGTCTCTTACTTAGTACCTCGTATTATAAGCTAGCCAGTAAAACTAAATGCAATATCAGTTTGTAAGAAGTGTTACTCTTGACCATCGCTACTACTTCTTTCCCATATGGTTATAAAACATGGTATCTACGATTACTTACTGAAGATGGTGAAAACGTCATCCGAACCCCCAGAAGAAACAGATGATATCACTACAATAAAAACAACATAAACTATTTAAAAAAGCATTTTATGTCAGAAGATGGAAAAGTGTAAGTTCATTGCTTTTTTTTTATAGGTATAATACGGACATATAACCTGTAAGTAATAAAGAACATTTTATTATATATTAAATTTACTAAATTTATGTTTTGCATTGCGCGATAGATAAATGACACTTTTAATTTAGGATTGATGAAATCAGCGGCCTAAGAAAGCTTCGGGAAAAGTGTGCAAATATTCTTTCGAAGCAATATACAAGTACTATATTTAGAACGAAGAGATTTGTTTCTGTTGTTTAGAAAGAGGCTCTGAACGTCATTTTTATCACGTTCTTTTGATGTTTCACTAAATCGAAATTACCTTCAGCACAGACCGGTGGTAGATGATGGCCACGGCTGATCTATGCGGTAAGCGCACGACATCTGCTGGAATAAGGAGCAAAACAATAAACAGTCTATGTCCCTTCAATGGCTGACACTTTCATATCTATTCAGTCAGCGCTTTTGCATAAAAACTAAGTTACTGGTAACATTCAGACAAGTTTTCTGTATCTAAAAAGTCTACACCTAGAACGTTAAGGCCGACTGTTTATTTATACTTCTGTTTAATTACTTAAACAGGCCGAATCAGTGACTATTAGTCCGCTGCCAGGTACACAACAGCAACATTTACAAACCCTTAATAAATGAAAGATATTTTTAAGCTGTTCTGTACGATGGATAAAGTTATGGCCTGTACATACTTACTTCTTCGGCTTGTTCCAGAACGCTGACCTCTCACGCTTAGGTGTAAATTTCACATTTTCGGCGTTTGGTGCTCGATCAGTCTCTATGACTCCTCCATGTAGGTTATAAGACCTAAGCTTGGGTACTGGGCCAAGACCACGAGAGTGCGCTATTCGCGAGGAAGCGAAGTGCAACCAGCTGAGCTTTTCCACGAAGAGATTTTCACGAGTCCACGAAGCAGCTAGAAACTTTAAACGGCAAAGGAGAAATGCTGCAAGGGCCGTCCGCTTATTAGGGAAAAGCTGAATCAGAATGGACTTTATTAGCCGCTAGTAGTGAAATGCTATTTCGGTCAATAGACGTCCAGTACGTGTATAATAAATTAACCAGTTAAATAAGCTTTGTAAATAAAATAACCGAAGACGTGGAGCTATTGTGTATACAGAGTTACGAGTTTTTGCTCGGCTTCTCATTTAGATGGTAGAAGGTGTCTACTATGTGTCTTGTTGCAAGGCTACAGAAGGCTAAAGCTCTTTTTAGGGCTTCTTCAAAAGATTTAAGTAACTTGTGTACAACGTGGACTTATAGCAGACAAAAGTGAAATATTCAATAAAGAAGAGGTTAAGTTTACAGTTGCAAAAACACAAACTTATATATTCGATGCTGTATTTATGTCAACCGGAAACCTACTTCCCTGTGTTATAAAAGGTCTACATTCTCCTATATCCAGACCTACGTTCTTTCTTACTGTAAGCCTATTCTTGCTCCACCCTGTATAAGGGGAAAAGGGACCTGCGTATGCTAAACCAGACCTGTATGGTAAGTATGTAAGGAGTATACTCTGCCGTATAAAGATATATAATGAGATCGGCCAAAACTGGTAGCTCTGTGATTTTTCTACGTATAACCGTTTAATTCCAAAGGTTGACACCGTGCAAGTCAATTAAGACAAAGTAACAGATATGAAATAGTTCAGATTGTGACACCTAATCGAATGTTTGTCTTCCGGTAAAATGTTATCTGTTCTATAGAAGCATCTTCAGCAAATGTTTCGCGCTAAATCACTGCCCACATCTTCAAAGCTTTATATAATAGTTATACGTGTAGTATATATATATATATATATATATAATAACAAATAGACGGGTGGAATTGATCTGTAATATGCCCTCACCGTACGTAAAATGAAAAGTGATATTGGCCATGCGCTTATGCAAGATTACACACGCATAAGTAATCAAGCTATGATTTTAGATGTTGAACAGAAAACATGTTCCCACTACATATCGATCCTTACTGATGATTTTGACTGTTTCATTGAAAACACACACTATCCTTCAAAGTATCCTTTTTGCATTTCAATAATAGCAATAGCGATAAGTAATAGTGTTTGAAGTTGAGTCCGCGTTGAGCCCTGAGGGACATTTCGCGCTTTATTCTGTATCAGCTTATATTCATAGAGTCGTACAGGTATGAGGTCCAGTAATTGCTGAGCGAGACGCTATGTTGTGGTTGTGGAGCCTATCGATCCGCAGAATGAAACGCGAACAACGAGTTGCTACCTTCTGGTGTGTATTCGGCTATATGTATGTACGCTTCAAAGGCCGCAGTTCCGGCTGGTGCAAAGAGAGGCTTCTTTCAAGTAGGTCCTGTTTCGACATACTGGAGTCGATCGTTTTGGCTAGACAAAAGTTATTGGGATCGGGTAAACCCGAAGTTGTAGCAGGATGGTGACAACGTGTAGTACAGGCGATAAGACGTGTGCATTAGTTACGAACATTAGCTAAGTTTCAAGGCTTCAGTGTCACATGGTTTAAACAAATGGCAACGGGAGCGGTCAAGCTTTTTCTGGCGCTATCTACCGGGTCATTGTGTTGAGGTGCTTCTAGATTGCACTTCTCGAGCGAACGCAGTTTAGTTATTACTTGCACCAAGTCTTCAGGTAACTGCAACTATATGTTGATTGAATGACATCGCGAAATAATGAATTTTAAGCGAAGGATATCGTTTAGCGATATGTGAGTAAAATGTACATAGTTGCTATAAAATGGCGTTTCAATGTAAATGATAGTATTAAATTACTCACTTCTTTTTATACCGTGTATAAATTAGAAAGTAGTTAAATAGAATATACATTAACTGTGACAAATCCACATAGAGACGCAAGAAAGAACGTAGTGCCTGAAGTTCAGTAACCTTTAATGTTTGCTTGTAGGGTCAAACTTCCTTTCAATCTATCGGTGACCCTATCTAGTACCTGCCTTTTTCTCTACGTTAGTTGAAATTAAAGCTGAAGTAAAGCAATTATATGGAAATTTTCATTTATATGTATTGAAATAGGTGGAACAGCTTACTGCAAATCAATTAGGTACTATTATCTGTGGTATCTGTGCTTCTTTGTGTCAAGGTAGTCGTTCACGGTCCATTCTCTTATATAAACATGAAGAACAGTTGATGAATAAGAGTATACGAGGAACTTGATAAGAAATTAGCACAGTAAAGTGACCGTCTGCTATCATGCGCATGATCCGTAAATTTGCTTCACACTCTATTACTATGATCTATATTCATGAGTTCAAGATCAGCCTATCTAAATATATCTCAACTTACTGAATTTGTAATAAGTGATAAAACCAATTGGTTGGCAAAAGCAGATAGCGTATATTTGAGTGCACGTAATGCCCACAATTGGTTTTGTCTCCATGCAAATATAGGTAACAATAGGCGAGGATAAAAATTAGGTAGGGGTGAATTTTAACGTTTACTTTAGACGACCCGTTCATTTTTGTGAACTTGATTTCCTGAGCGGAATCCTAAAAGTGGAAGTTCGATGAAAAGTTTCGTTAAACATTCCCGAAAGCATATTTTTATACAAAATATGCTTTATTCAAGCTTCAAAAAACTGGAGAGTAGCTAATAAAGTAATGCAACTTTTGTGCTGCTAGCTAAACATGTCTGGCATTGGACTTATAACTTTATGTTGCCAGATTAACTATAATTTGTTTATATATATAGCCACGCACAATAGTCGAAAATTAATTAAATGCATAGAACTTATACAACTACTCCAACTTTCCAGATAGAATTCAACATTCTCGTTGTCTCCATATCTATCAAGCCACGGATAAAATCAGCGGCTAAGCTGTAGTCAGCAGCGTCGACACGTACGTATCCAATGCGATATGATCTTCTCTTTCTTGTGATTACGAGGTCTTCCCCACTCTTGCAACTATGAGCAACCCTAGAGAGACAAACTGAGTTGCGGAGCATCATCTGATTTCAGAATCCACACTCGTAGAACCCCGAGAAATCAGCAACCAGATACTGGTGAGCACGAGTGGGACAAGTCCGTTACAAAATGTAATGCTAAATATGTACTGAGTCGCTTCATATAATAACAGAATGGTGATACGTTTCCGTTTTTAAGCGCCGCTATTTGCTACAAAAGATATTAGCTAAGGGAGTACAGCTTCCAGTTAGGAGCACATGAGATGTTTCTGACGCAGAAAACGGATGATCCTCAACGTCGTGTAGCTCCGCGTCGGTTATCCAAGACTACCAATGCGCGATAGCACTATGATCAGCAAAACGAAGCTTGTGGCTTTCAGGGGCGTGGTTTGTGATCCGCAACCTGGTAGTTCCCTGGACCGTGTCCAGCTTTTCGCCGTCCCCATTTCAACAAGATATGCAGTGTCGCCATAGCGCAAAGTATTTATCTGACCTAGAAAAACTGTTTTGCGGAAATGCATACACATATAGAATATTTTAAGGCACACATTCGGATAATGTAGGACCGTTAGAAACGAGCTTCCTACGGTAGGTCTTATTAAACATTCAGTCCATACCAAAATCGCACTTTTAATTTTTCCAATTGTTTTCTTCGCAGCAAAGCATCCTAAAACAGACGAATCCGACAAAGTTATCTATATTCGACAGGATCTCAACTTGTCAAGGTCCGAGATCGAGTTATCTATTAGCGTGACGCATGCGGCCGTCAATAACATAGGCTGCGCAACAGGTATGGGTAATGAAAGGAACATGTTAGAATGTTGAAGATGGGAACACTCAAGCTTCTTTGCTTTTTTAGCACGCTGGAAGATGAAAATGTCCAAAAAATAGCTAGCATTTTTTTGGGAGGATACCTTCTAGTTGTTGCCGCAACATTTTTGAAGATATAAGACTTCCTTCAATTTAAGGTCGACTGCTTTATATTTGTTGAATTCACGCGACGAATATGCTGCAAATAC